AGATGAGGTAAGTTTGTCGCTTTGATTATTATTACAAATGTAATTGTCGATTATTATAGGAATATGTTCACGATTTGTGTTCGTGACAATGAGAATGAGGACGAATGCCATAAAACGATTAAAAACGTGGCATCGGCGCTGTGGCAGCGTTTGGAAATAATAGTGTGCAAGGTACAATACCTACCTATCCAACTCCATTTGTTTAGTCTTTTCGCCTCGCTTTTCGCATTCATATAGTGCACTAATATTGTTTATTTTTTTAGTTTTAAATAGGACACATATTATAGGGCTTCTAAAAAAAGTCTGGCGTTTTTTAGGCTGCAAGTGCCCATACAGGGTTTCTCAAAAGTCTTGCGACTATTTTCTTTGAAAATGGATTGTTATTTTCAGATTTTAGAATTCCAATAAATAAAAATATGTACTCACAATTTTTTTTTCATAAAAGCTACCTCAAATTTTGGTAAAGATACTCCAACGAAACACATTTTTTCTTTCACTAAAATGACGCCTTCTACCAAAATTTTTCATAGATATATTTAGTTGCCTTTTTAATAAAAAAATCTTAGGACAGGTTGAACACAAAATGCTGTAAATTCATTTTAGCTAACAGGAGTTTAATGTTTAACTGGTTATATTCAAAGTACCAATGTCATTTTTAAAACTATGTTCAATAATAACCGATGACTATACAAGGTTCACAGTTTAAACTAAGATTACATTTGAAATGTCTATTGGGTATTCAAAAAATTTTGAGATATTTCACCTTCTTTAACAAAATATACATTAAGTATAGCTAAAATTCAGTAAAGGTTAATTAAGATAATCAGTTAAACATGTACATTAAAAATGGGACATAGACACTAGATTATCTGATTAAAACTAAACGAAACGTGCTTGAAACGTGAAAATATTACTCGTTTTCGAAATACAGGGCATTAAAGTTTAAACATTCATTAATTAATAATGGCTATACATTGTATCAGTATAATTTTTAACCGACTTCAAAAAAGGAGGAGGTTCTCAATTCGTCGCAATATTTTTTTAATTTTTTTTTTATGTTCAGCGATAATTCTTTAACACGGTGTCCGATTTCACTTCAGTGGTGGTCCCATATAAATTTGGTCAAAATCTAATAATTGGGTCCATGAGAAAATCCGCAAACTCATTTTTTATGTATGTTTAGTGATAATGCTTTACCACCTTGTTCGATTTATATGATTCTTTTTTGTTAGTAAGGGGGTACCGCAGGGGTGGTCCCATATAAATTTGGTTAAGATGTGGTGATGGCATCTGCACGTTTTTGAAGTCGTTTTTTTTTTAATTTTTAATTTCTGATACTTGTATATTGTATAATTTTAATTAATTCGGCAAACGTTATTGATGTCATAAGATACACCTATCAGCAAAAAAAATAAGTCAAACTTTGCTAGTGGCGTACGGCATGGGTATGTAAAACCTAAATTTTACGCCAGTGTCCAAAAATCTATTTGGACAATAATTTTACATTTTTTGATGTTTTTTTAATATTAATATTATTGTTATGAATTTATAAAAAAATCAAATTTTCAAAATTTAAAAGTAAATTAAAATTGTCTATTTTTTTGCTGATGAGTTCTAAAAAGGATGAAACCGATCATAGAATGACGTTAAATAAAATCAAAGTTAGAGTCCTGAAAATTATTTACTATCTATCTATTTTCCTTTTGATATAATGCAATGTCTGTTGCGGTATTAGCCAAAGGAGAAGTTGTTTTCAGGAGGGGGAAATGGTCGCTCGACGTTTCTGTGACACGGACTTTTTTCTCTTTTTTCTTTATTTTTTATTATTGATCACTTTTTTAAGAATTGAATTTATTTTCTTTCCTTTCTTTATACTTTTTACAATCGATTAAAGTCGATTTTCTAAAATGGATTTTTATAATTTTATTTACAATACTCAATAAAGTTCGATTGAGCAATTTCCTAAGTATTTCTAATCCTAAATTTCCAGATATCCTTTTCAAATTAATTAGGAAGGCGTCATTTTCCAAAAAGACTTTATCAGTGCGATATGGAATAGGGTAGAGACTGAGTACCCTGTATGTGTGTATGTATATATTGATTCAAAAAAAGAATAAATATATATTTCTGGTTTTCAAATTTGTAAATTTGTTAATCAATGTTTGATGGGTAAGGTCGGTTTTGATAATTGGAAATTATTTTTAAAAATCAGGATGTCATGAGAATTTTGGTTATAGATTGGAAATAAATATTTAAAGAATTGCTGATATATTGGATATTTTCATTTGGAGCACAAATAAAACAATTTTAAAAGGAAAGTAAGGTACATTTTATTCAAAACATTAAAGGAGAAAGTGTCAGGTAAAGCACCAGGACGGAAGCAGATTTAGAGGATGCAGAGGTAAAAGCAAAGTAAGCAGTGAGGTGCAAATAGGTTGGAGAGGAAGCCGGCGAGTACAGGAAGAAAAAAGAAAACTTTCAGCACATATAAATTAATAAATTCATTTTTTTTTAATTTTTAGTTTCAAAATTAATTTTTGTAAACCCACCAAACGTTGAGTGGACTGTCGATATCAAGTACGTCATTGAGATTTGGAGGTAAGAATTTCCATTTCTTTATTGTGATCCAAATTATTGTATTTGTTGAACCTAGGGACCCTGAGATTAAGATTTAATAGTCCGGTTTATAGGGTGAGTTTAAATTTTTTTTATTACAAAACTCATTTTTCATATCAATATTTATGTATATTAGGACTGGGCGATTATCAAAATTAATAATCGATTATTTAAAATAATCGATTGTTTTCGATTAATCGAAAATAATCTATTAATCGAACATAACCGATTAATCGAAAATAATCGACTAATTAAAAATAATTGATAATCGAAAATAATCGATTAATCGAAAATAATAGATGAATTGAAAATAATCGATTAATTAAAAATAATCGATTAATCTAAATTCCGATTAATCTAAAATAATTGATTGTTGAAAATAAACGATTAATCGAAAATAATCGATAAATTAAAAATAATCGATAAATTAAAAATAATCGACTAATCGAAAATAATCGATTGATCGAAAATAATAGATTAATCGAAATTAATCGACTATCGATTTAAAAAATATATAATAATAGACTAATTGATTATTTTGCCCACCCCTAATGTATATATGTATATAATTGTTTAGTTAATATTTTACGAAATGAAGTGCATACGATCCTGGCTTCTCAGCCTATCTTCCAGCTAGGTATCACTCATAATTCCGATGTTAGCGACAACTCAGCGTGCTGTAAGACAATTACTGGATTTTAACTGTGACTCATAGTATAGAATATTTACACATTTTGTTGCCAAAAATGTAAACTTATTTTATAAAAATCTATCTGAAGAAAACTTCTTACTGTGTCTCAAAAGCTAACATTTCGACGTTTTATTTTCATCTACCTCATGGCTATGCAATTTCAGATCGATTAATGGACTGTTTTTAGATTAGTTATTTATTATAACATATATTTTGTGGAAACAAAATATATATTATGATTCTTTAGAATTAACTTGTTACAATTTTAAATTAATAATTTACAATTTATAAATGACATAATTTGAATATTTTACCAACGTTCCTCTATGCCAAAAGTGAATTTATTAAAATACTTTTATGCCTATTAGTGACACGTAAAATTAAATACAATAATTACAAATTTGTTTCCGATTTTACATGTCGAAATTTGTCTGCCACTAGGGAATGCTTTTATTTATTCCCAGTTATTTTTTGATACCGAAATTAATAAATCATTTTCAGGTGTTTTTAGTTAGTGAATATTAAATAATTTGACATATTAAACGCGTTTTTAATTTATCCCTTTAATCCTACATGTTGTTTTTTAATTAATAATACAGAGCTGTTCAGAAAATTTTTTAATTTTAAATGCGACCACCAAATCAGTATAGTATATTGTTTAACGAGCAAGGAATGATACTCATTTCCTACAGTTTTTAACTGAGTTGAACACTATACTTTTTCTATGACTAAAATCTAAAATTAAAAGGATAGTTTTCTTCTAGATAATTGTTAAATGTTTGATTATTCATAGCACATATAATTAAGAAATAACTACTTTATGTTATCAAATATAATATGATACGGAGATTATTATTTGTGTTAGAATTATCAAATGAGGAAATTTGCATCATTAATAATAGTTGAAAAAATGTACTTTTGTATTGTCACATGTTCCAACTCATGTTTATAAATGTTAACAATAAAGATTTTTGAAAATTTTGTAGTTTTTTTTGCAAAAAGTTGTATTCTATATTTTTTATCCAATTATTTTTCTAGGTTATTTTAAAGCTAATAATTAAAATATTGTTGTCAGCCTTTTATATATTTTAACAAAATCTGCATACCTATAAAGGATTTGATGTAATGAAATACTCCATTTATTTCAAGAGACCAAACTTTTGAAATACTCGCCAGGTGAGATCTGTCGAGAAGAGTCATAAGTAGTATATCTAAGGCGGTACTGGATCACAATGGTAAGCTATCCATCAAGTTCTCTAGTCGGATGGCTTGGGTCCTGAAGAAGTAGCTGATGAAGAAAAAGAAGAAGAATTTTACTCTATTTACGTCATATATAATTATAAAATTTCAGCATTTTACATTAATTTAAATAGAAAAAATATAGAACTTAATTTATAGTTATCGAGTGCGAAAATTCAATTAAAAGAAGTAAAGGTATACCCAAAAATAATATGCTGGTATTTTTTATTTATATACTCTCTTTTTACATAATATGACTGCTCTAAATAGACATTTCTAGACATGAAAAACTAAGTTCTACGACATTTTGTATCGAATTTTTAAAACTATAAAGGGTGCTTTAAAAATTGTTTAATTTATCGTGACATATCCCCAAAAAACGAACCATTTTACTAAAAAAACAAAATAACTTGTTTGAAGCTTTTCTGACATTCGATTTTGGGATTCTTTTTAGGTCGCAAGTGGACCACAAGAATAATATAGATGGAAAGAATAATCAAGACAGTAATGAAAAGAAGAAGCCCCACATAAAGAAACCCTTAAACGCCTTTATGCTGTATATGAAGGAGATGAGAGCTAAAGTTGTTGCTGAGTGTACATTAAAAGAAAGCGCAGCAATCAATCAGATCTTAGGGAGGAGGGTAAGCTTTTTATTTATCTAGTTAAAATAATATGGGATGAACGTAGAATGGATGGTTTTTGATTTCTTTCAAATACGTTTTCATATTTTTGTTGAATAGTCATTACAATATATATTTTTTTAATTTGAAAATTGTAGGATTTTATTTAATTTATATGATCCCATCAAATAAAAGTAGTAAAGATGTAAAAATATAATTTGAGAAAGGAATACGTGTATAAAATTAAAAATCATAATAGTGCATATGTCTTGTTCCTTCTATTCAAAATTATATTTTCATGGCTTACAAACTTTTATTTATGATTGAATATAAAATATAATTAGGACATCACAATAGATTTTTTTTATATTAAATTTAGTTAAATATTTTAAGATTCATCAAAAATAATAAAATAAATTTGAAGAATGCTATAAGTAACTTAACACACTCTTGATAAGGTTTTTCCTAATTTGACCAAGGGATCTGATAGTTTATAACTTTACAAATGATCATTTAATATTTGAAGTTTTATTCATATCTTTTTTAACTTCAAAAAAATTAAACAAAATCTAATTTAATCGTAAAAAACTTTTGACAAAATTAGGGACATTTAATTTTTGGTAAAATAAATGTCTGATTGTTTTGATCTGAGTGTGTTAAAGTTTACTACATTTCTCTATCATTAACCGCAGGATTCAAAATATTATAAAATACTTTTTGAGATAGCGTCAGCATCAATATTTTCTTTGCCTGTAAGATGCACTGCTAAAATTAAGTATGTGTAATATTTTTGAAGGACCTCCTGTAGTTAATAGTCTTGCTGTCTGTTATAAGTAAAGATTTTATTAAATATAAACCAAATTAATATCATAAAATTGTAAAATATCAGATTTGTGTATTAAATCATTATGTTTATTTTAAACTCTTACATAGACAGCAAGCAATATTAATATTGTTTGATTTTAGCTGACTTAATTTCATTGGTAAAATCAAATTAATCCAAAAATAAACAAAAACGACTAACTCTAGGAGAACGCTGGTTTTGGTGTTTTCGTTTTCATAATATATGAAACAAACATTCATAAATATCTTACATTGTATCGCAAGATTAATAATAAAAATATTACGAGTTTATTTATAATTTTGAATTAAGTTTGAAGTAAGCCAGATACAACCCAATTCTTGGTACAAATCTCACCTGAAATTATTTAATGAAATTAATGAGCTGAAGCATACTGGGTGTTTTCAAATTGCCTCCTAGGAAATTAGATGAATTTTCAATGAACAAAAATGTGTTTTTTTACTAACTTCCAAAACTTGGCCTATATACCTAGTGATGTTTCTAAAGTGGCGATGGGAAACAGTAACAAAGTCTACGCCGAACACGCAATAATAAAAAATATATTAAATTATAAAGTATTGTGGAGCCATACATACACTCGAAAAAAATAATTTTACTAAAGAGAAAAAGTTATTTTTCTAAGGGACCTCTAACTTTAGAAATGCTTCCAAATCCATCCATCCATCCAAATTTTGAATTTTCTATCTTCATAATTTAATGTATCTTCAAGAGTAGGCATAATTAACTTTTTTACATTTGGACCACTGAAATTTCTCTAATTTAGTTATATAATACGAGATTAACAACTAAATTAAAAAACCCTTATCATAAAACATCAGTGAACTACATTTTTCGAAATGTGTAACTGGTGTTCCCCGAGAGGTGCTTCTCATTATATTGGCCGGTATTAGCCGATACTCGCCGAATACAAATCTTATATTATTCACTGTTGGGTTCTAATTAACAGTGCTGTTCCTAAAGTGGCGCTGAGAAACAGTAACAAAGCCTACACAGAACACGAGGCTAATAACCTTAGCAGTTGATACCGATGACACAAAGAAAACAAGATCGTCAGGCAATCGTAGAGGATATGGTCTCATCTTCTTGTTGTGGATTTTAAGAGCCCCATACTCTGGAGATACTTCCGTACTTTGCAATGACCAGTCAGAATGCCTGAGGCGTAGATTCTGTTTAGTTATAGTCAAGTATTTGTTAGCTGTGGTGTTGTTGGGATAACTTAAAAGCTCCCTGGCAAATCTGCACTTTCTTGTTTCATCCCATCTTTCTTTGAATATCACAAAGGAATCTTATTAAATTGTGTCACTATCGATGTCGTTTGTCTAATGAAAGGACAAGGTCAAAAGAGTATTTGGTTAGTTGCCTTCTTGGCTTGTGAATCAGCAAGACGGTTACCTTTCGTTGTGCTTTAATCTTTGATCCATCTTAAGGTGGCCACATCGTTGATGGATACTTTGCCCAAATCGTCGGGACATTGTAGTACTAACTCTGATTAAATTCGTATTCTGTTCTGGGCGAGTAGTGATTTTCTACTATCTGTATACATGAGCATGTTCCTTCAAGTGATACTGTTTTTGGTAATTTATTTTGCTGCTATTAGAGTCTCTGTCAACTCAATTTGAACTACACTGGATATATTGCTTACAGTCCATTTTGTGTTTAGATTTAAGGATCTGGAGTATAATGCAAATCTGGAGCCATTATTTGTTTTAGAACCATCGGTGTTGATACGAATCGTACCTACCACTTCCGATTTTTCTATTTGTTCCGCTACTTCCATGGCTCTGGCTGGTGTGGTTCTCATGGCTCCTGTTATCATGAGACATGCTGTTCTTTGAATGTGTTCTAGTTTGGGAATAGCTGTCAATTGTTGGGTTTTCTGTACCCATATACCTCTACCGTGTGCCGTATGTTAGCATTGATCTTATGATGTCGTGTAAGTCCATGTAACGACACTGGGGGAGCGCCCCACAGTTCGGTGTCATAGTTCATCTGCATTGTATGCTTTCTGTTTTCAAGGTCTGACTTCCAAATTAACTTGCTATCAAAGGTGAGACCTAGATACTTCACATCTGTTGCAAAGTTTGGTTTTGTATTTTGGAACTCTGGAGATTTTAGTTCATTTTCATCCTTTTTCTTGAGGATTGTTTGTCTTTTTGGGGATTGAAAGACAGGGAATGGTCCTTGCACCACTGTTCTATAATTTTAGGAGTTACTTCCATTATTTCGCAGAGTATGTTCTCAAAATTTCCTGTTTGCAGAATGACAAGGTCATAAGGTCATATACGAGTATACCTATATGGCACAGCATGATTATTTAGAAACATTTTTAGTAGTTCGGAAGTTATTAAATAAAAATGATTTTCACAGCAAGTTTAACCATCCTGTAATAGGGCCCAAAATAAAAAGTTGTACATTAAAAGTCCATCTAATTTCCTTGGAATTTAGAAACATTCTTTATAACATACAAACCGAAATAGAGAATTAGCATGAATGCGGTAACCGTGAATGAGAACGTACGTGAGTTAATCATATATGTGCTTAGTGGCACTCCTTGAGCCGAGAAGAGCAGGCCAAGTATTATGAAAAGGCGCGCCAGGAGCGCCAATTGCACATGCAGCTGTACCCGGGCTGGAGCGCACGGGACAATTACGGTTACGGCACCAAGAAGAAGAAGCGAAAGAAAGAGCGAACACCTATCGAGTCGGGAGGTAGTTATCAGACGCGACGGCGCACTAGCCTACTATATATACTCTGTTAAGCTTGTCGCTTGTTTATACGTTACGACACGGCACGGCACAGAACGTACCATGTCGTAACGTACCGAATAAGTAGTGAGCATATCTTTGTTTGTTTGTGCATATTGTTTCATACCGTGCCGTAAATAATAAATCTGCGACAAGCTTTAGAGTGTCCGTCCAAAATTTATCACCAGTCGTTTGCGCCGAAACCCATCATGTTGTACTTAAAAAACAGCAGTGAGGTGACAGATAGACAAAAGTCTGTTTTAAAATTATTTGAAAACTTTTAAAGACAACTGCCGATGGAATTCGGCGCACAGCGACGAATTTTTGAATTAGGGACTAACAAACTGCACTCGACTCTTTTTTTAATACTAATAGAAGCTGGTTTTTAAAAATATCCAAGTCGAATTGGAATATATTTTTCTTGAGATATTTTTATTGCTGGTTTCATAACAGGCAGCGTAGCATTCGTTTAAGCACTCTCGCGATATATATCCCTTTCAAACTAACCACTAAGGTGTTATCGCTAACTAAAAAGTTTGCCAGACGTTGTTGTCTGCTGTGGCGTATTGTTTACATGTATCGATTATGAAATTAAGCTGATCGAATTAACAAAAATGTGCATTTTGATCTATTTGCGAGTAAAAAATAGTGCATGTAAACAACATAACCCTTTAGACGACATGATACGATGCAGGTTTGTCGTTATTTTTGTACACAACAACTTTTTAAAGAGCTGAATATAAAAATTCCAAGGTACAAATTATTTTAGGCTGAATTGAATATTGCTAAACAGCAAACCAACCATGGCTTGTTCTGTTATTACGAAGACGTAAAATAACAATAAACTTTGGTGATATATTTTTGGAGTGACTGCAAATAAAGGCAACCCTAGTTATTGTTAAAGTGACAGCCTCCACTTTAACAATAACCGGGGTTGCCTTTGTTTGCATTTATACCAAAAATGTAACGTTTTATGTTTGTTGTTATTTTGACGTCTGTGTAAAACCAAAGCAAACCATGGTTGGTCTTGTGTTTACCAATTACGAACCTGTCATTTTTTTTCCTAAAATAATCAGTCTCTTCGATTTTTTGTGTTGGTTCATATGCTAATAAAGGTTAAAGAAATTAATGGATCTTCACGAAATTCGGCACAACCCTTATAAATAAACCCTTATAATCGAAAAAATTACCTATTATTTGTTTTATTTGTTACTTAAATTTACTCGAGATAAATTGGGAAAAAATTAAGTTTTTTAAAAACTAAAACTAATAATTATACAGGGTGATCTTTAAGTAATTGTACATATAAATGTTGTATATATATTACGATTTGAGATCTATAATAAAAAGTTTGAAATTGGTGGTATTGGATCATAAAAAAATTAAGTATAATTTCGTATATTCATCGATCTGTTTAATAGGGGGTGCTATAGAAGCCATTTTTTTTGCATAAACATACGTTAAACCTTTTTTTTTATTTAAATTCGCGCCATTTCCTTTAAAAATATTAAAGACACGTCAATTTATCAAAGAAAAGTTATACCTGCCATAGCATTCATGGCCTATTTATTGCATATGGTCTGAGAAGCAAAACAAACGGTAGTGACCAGGCTTGTCTAGTAAAAGTACGAGAACATAGCGAATAGCTCAGTTATATCTGACAACTGACTTGCGAGTTGCGAGAAGCACGAGGCATTCTATCGATAAATGTGTTTTATGTAACAAGTGCAAAGGCATTCTGACCCACCGTTGCTTTGACTTTTATATCTCTTTCCAAATGTCAAGAGGAGACTCAAAACGGCGTGGGTCATGTGATCTGCCACAGGTGGGTCGATGACGTCATAACGGCATATGCACTGTTTACAGTTTTCATGCGATTAATCAAGTCGGTACTTTTAAGTTAATTCAGGGACAGGGTTGGGTTTCAGATTTTAGCTGAATATGTTGTATGTATTTCTAACATCTATTAACCCTATAACTCAAAAGTTTTATATATAATCTCATTTAATTCATTGCGTGAAATATAAACGTAGTAGTAATGTTTTTACAGCAATCCGACGATATTATAAATTGACGTGTCTTTAATAATTTTTTTATAAAAATGACTTACTTAAACAACAATTACTTTATTTAAGCCACATATGTGACTTATATGGCGCACCCTTTAAAGAAATAACTTTTTATGGCCCAAAACCAGTAATTTCCGATTTTTTATTACAAAACATTAATTTTGATCTGTGTTATTAATATTTTTTTAAGGCAAGTTGACTCAAATCGTAATATTTTAAATCTACTATACTTCTGTTTATAATAATTACTTAAATACCACCCTGTGTAAGCGGTTTCATTTAAATTTGAATGATTTATTGTTCTTTGGATACAAGTACTTTTTTTTAAATATAAGTTGTGAAAAATTTCGTGAAAATCTATTAAGTTTCCTTAACTATTTCCAATTTACTTTTCAAATACTTTTTTAATTAAAAATTTTTAAAGTTACAAAAGAAAATAGTTATACAGGATTGCTCATAAACGTGTTTGTTATTATCAAGAAGTCAGGAAAGAACTTTTCAACTCCAAAATAGTAAGGTCAAAAGAGCTGTTTTTTGATTAAGCAATCTTGTAAAATATTGTTTCTTTGTGTATTGTGCTTTTTGTTTTTTTTGTTAATATGGACCGTGATAATCTTGACATTAAAATAAAGATGGTGATAATATGATAACAAAACAATGCCAACCTAACAAATCAGAAAAGACAGGTTCAGATATTTTTAATTCTTAAAGTGAGGGTAGCCATATTTAAAGATGAGGGATTCAGTATGGGAGATAGTAGAAAATATCCTTTCTGTCTCACAAAGTCACTACCTAAGGCCACCTAACTTTGTGAGGCAGAAAGAACTTTTTGTACCACTTAAGTACCATGAAAGTATGAAAAATGGCAAACGAAATTACTACATCCAGACCACTGGAATGAGACAAAAAATTATCCTGAAACGAAAACTTCTAGTACATCATAGAGACCCACATAGCAATGAAGGTTTTCACTTCTTTTGACAAAATTTCACTATGCGCAGAGATGAGAATGAAGAAGGTATTATATATAGATATTTTCATTTTCGGCGTTTTTTCCCAGTTTTTTGTATTTTACTAAAAAATGATGCGTTTTCATGAAAAATTTTATTGGACTTTTTTGAAGAACAAATTATTTTCTATCGATTTGTGTCCTTATACATTTTTTGCCAAACTTCATATTTGTGCTGCTGCAAAAAACAAAAAAAGTGCATTTTTGCATTTTACATAAAAACTACGCACTTTTGGGGAAAATTTCATGAGGGCAAAGCTTTAGAGCGGAAAATTTCCTATACAACCCATCGTTTCTGCTGCTACAGCGCACGCATGCTAGAAAGTTTCTGTTAACTTTTTCGTATTGTTCGTAAAGAAAGAAAATGAATATGTTTAGTTAAATTCAACTATCCATAATGTTGCAACTACATTTTTTTAACCAAGCGGACAGTTTTGAAAACGGAATGATCATTTATTGAAAAAACGACTCACTTTCCGCGCATGCGCCGAGGCCGCGGAAATGATGGGTTTTCGGAAAATGTTTCATAGGTTCGGTAGGAAATTTTTTGCTCTACAACTTTGCTCTGATGAAATTTTTCATCAAAGTGCGTGATTTTTATGTTTTATGCTCTAGCGGCAAAAATATGAAGTTTGGTAAAAAATTTATAAGGGCATAATCGATAGAAAATCATTTGTCCAGTAAAATTTTTCTTGAAAATGCATCGTAAAATGAGTAAAATACAAAACTGGGAAACAAACCCGAAAAATGTATATATGTTTATATACCGGATGTTCAAATTAAAGTGTTACAGCTAAATACTGCCTTTTATAAAAAAAAACGTTTCGTACGAAAGTTTTATAGTTTTGTGGGGAAAAAAGTTTGGCTAAAATCGTTTTTTATATGACCAACTTTTTTTTCGAGCAGCAAAATTCTCAAGTAGCTGTTACTCAAAAAGTAAAAGTCTAATAAAAAAATATTTTCCTCAAAAGTTTCTTATTTTTTTATGTACTTTAAGAATATGTAAAAAATGGGGTTCCAAAAAAAAGTCCACCTCGATATGGCCATATTATGGTCAGCTATAAAAAAATTAGCCAAAATGTTTCCCCCAAAAACCTATAAAACTTGTCTGAAATTTTTTTTCTAAAATGCATATTTTTGGCTGTATTTAACTGTAACACTTTAATTTGAACACCCGGTATAGTAACTTCTTGCGATCATTCTCATCTCTGCGCATAGTGAAATTTTGTCAAAAAAAGTCAAAACCTTCATTGCTATCTGAGTCTCTATGCTGTACTAAAAATTTCTCCTTAAAAACTTAATTTCAGTGAATAATCGATATTTCTGACAATTGCGACAATTATTGCTATGGTGGCTTTGTTTTATTGGAATCATTGAGATAGAATAAAGAGGAGATGCTATGACGATATTAAAAGTGTTCGCAACGTTGCATTACACTTTTATGTCATGTGCCAAACTCGAGCTAGCAGAGCTAGTCAGTTTTAACGAGAATAAATGCCCATCTTTTTAAAAATAACTTCATTTAAATGATATAATAATATTTTCATTCCGTCCATCTTCAAATATAAAATTATTAACTGCAAATAAATTAAAGTACGACTCTAAGTCGCCATTTTGATTACACTTTTCCATCACTCTTAGCACCGTTAAGTACGTCCATCGTCTCCACTTTATTCTATCTCGATGATTGGAATCATTGATATCATATTGTCGCCGTCCATTTATAAATATCAAGCTTGTTAAGTACAACCAACTTCATTGGTGACGACATCGCTTGCATCGTCTGTATCTGGTGTGGTTCTTAAACGGATGTTACCTCTAAAGATCACCCCACCTTTGCTCCGGTGCCTGACCGATGTGCATACTACCGGACTCGAGCAGAATGGGTCGGTGGCGGCCAAAAGCCAAATGTCATTTATATATCTATATATAAAAAGAAGTAATTGACACGAAATGACAGCTAGGGACGGCCGGCATGGCGATTTTGCGCGCTTCTTGGTGCCCTGCCGGTTCGACAAAATGTTGACTGTTTAGTTCTGTTTAGTGGCACGCTTTGGGTAGGGAGGAGCAGGCCAAATACTATGAGCTGGCTCGGCGCGAACGACAGCTGCACATGCAGCTCTATCCCGATTGGTCATCACGCGCCAACGCCACTCGCGGCAAGAAGAGGAAGCGTAAACAAGACCCCGCCGATGGAGGTAGCCATCCTCGCAATTTACTAGTTTTTATTATACTTTTATTTTGTTTCGACCACACCTTCTTTTCCGCTCATCAACTTGGCTCGCCAACCGCAGTTTCACAAATGTCACTTGTCAGCAATGGCAGCTGACAGTCTAATATGTCTAAAGTTATCTAGAGTGCTTATGGTTTGTGAAATGATTTGTTTAACGTCAATTTATCCAGTTAATCACTAGGTGTCGTTTACGTTTTAACCAGATTTATTCATATATATCTGTTATAAATTTACAAATCTTGTTATTGCGTTAATGAAAAACCTGTAAATATCATTTCTCGATGTATTTTTGAGAAATGTGTTCAAAAAAAGATAGTACATGCATGCCATTTAAGCTCGTTCCGCTTCTAAATGTACTCTTAGATTTTCGTAGTAAACATTTTATGAAAATATTTCTCAAAAATTCGATTCTATTCTGATTCCATAATTATAGCTTTGTGAAATGTATTGCCAAGTGGATGAACGGATTCAAGTACTTGAGAGTAACTTGCGAGTCGTACCTTATTCTATTATATATCTTATATATTATAATTATTGCATGTTATTGGGGTAAACGGTTTGGCCACAGCCGGGACCTATTCTGCCGAGGGTCTAGCGGACCCCCCTTTTGTTGGTTGGAGTCGCCGAATGCACGTTTGTCAGCAGCCTGCATGAGACCCTAAGTAGATTATTTTTTATCCCTTCAAGGATATATACCCAAGCATGGCTCTATCTCTTTATTTTCTATCTCTATCTGTTTTCCTTCTCTTTTCATAGTTTTTATTTCTTTAATTGTTAGGCCCTAATTTAGACATTTAAGTATAATTGCTTAGATTAATTTATTGGTGAATTTAGAAACTACTAACACTAAAAAAATATATAGGATGGTCTTCCATACAGACTAGACGGTAACGATTTTAAAAAATATTTACAACATGGGGTTATGTAGATTCAAATTGGCCACAGATTTTTAAAATTAGTTTGAATTGTACAGGGTGTTTTAAAAAGTAGTGATGTTTCAGTTTTCATTTTTGAATTCCAAGGATTAAATGTATCCACCGGAAAAATGGAACGACCTTTAAATTATTGCACTACACAATTGTACTATAGGGTTTTTTACACATAAACTCAACTTTTCCATGGGGTCTACAAAATTTTTTACTTTAAATAATGCTATTAAACCATAAATAATAACTATTTCAGAGTGTGTTAAGAACACAAGTAATTTTTTTCAAGAAAGTTGCATTTCAGCTTTTATGCACTTCAAATAAAATGTTATTCATACACTTAATATAGGAGAAACATCAGTACTCGGGAAAATCATAAAAATAAATTACTTTTCTATATTCTTTCCAATGTTGCATTTTTAGAAATCTCATAGTGCAGACCTGATATCAGCATCAAAGACAGACCATTCTGGAAAAAATACTGGAGTATATCTAAATACCTTTTTTATTATTATTTCTGTTTCGGTTTTCATTACATGATAAAAATTTGAATTTAAGTTTGTTTCCTAAGTGGATGTAGCTAAAATAGTAGTGAAGCTATATAGTCATGGGCGCACTCCTTCAAATTTTCCGTCAGAAAATATGCATCAAATAGCAATTTTTGTTCATATTTCTATGAATTTCTATGAATTTCTATGAATTTCTATGAATTTCTATGAATTTCTATGAATTTCTATGAATTTCTATGAATTTCTATGAATTTCTATGAATTTCTATGAATTTCTATGAATTTCTATGAATTTCTATGAATTTCTATGAATTTCTATGAATTTCTATGAATTTCTATGAATTTCTATGAATTTCTATGAATTTCTATGAATTTCTATGAATTTCTATGAATTTCTATGAATTTCTATGAATTTCTATGAATTTCTATGAATTTCTATGAATTTCTATGAATTTCTATGAATTTCTATGAATTTCTATGAATTTCTATGAATTTCTATGAATTTCTATGAATTTCTATGAATTTCTATGAATTTCTATGAATTTCTATGAATTTCTATGAATTTCTATGAATTTCTATGAATTTCTATGAATTTCTATGAATTTCTATGAATTTCTATGAATTTCTATGAATTTCTATGAATTTCTATGAATTTCTATGAATTTCTATGAATTTCTATGAATTTCTATGAATTTCTATGAATTTCTATGAATTTCTATGAATTTCTATGAATTTCTATGAATTTCTATAAATTTCTATAAATTTCTATGAATTTCTATGAATTTCTATGAATTTCTATGAATTTCTATGAATTTCTATGAATTTCTATGAATTTCTATGAATTTCTATGAATTTCTATGAATTTCTATGAATTTCTATGAATTTATATGAATTTATATGAATTTCTATGAATTTCTATGAATTTCTATGAATTTCTATGAATTTCTATGAATTTCTATGAATTTCTATGAATTTCTATGAATTTCTATGAATTTCTATGAATTTCTATGAATTTCTATGAATTTCTATGAATTTCTATGAATTTCTATGAATTTCTATGAATTTCTATGAATTTCTATGAATTTCTATGAATTTCTATGAATTTCTATGAATTTCTATGAATTTCTATGAATTTCTATGAATTTCTATGAATTTCTATGAATTTATATGAATTTCTATGAATTTCTATGAATTTCTATGAATTTCTATGAATTTCTATGAATTTCTATGAATTTCTATGAATTTCTATGAATTTCTATGAATTTCTATGAATTTCTATGAATTTCTATGAATTTCTATGAATTTCTATGAATTTCTATGAATTTCTATGAATTTCTATGAATTTCTATGAATTTCTATGAATTTCTATGAATTTCTATGAATTTCTATGAATTTCTATGAATTTCTATGAATTTCTATGAATTTCTATGAATTTCTATGAATTTCTATGAATTTCTATGAATTTCTATGAATTTCTATGAATTTCTATGAATTTCTATGAATTTCTATGAATTTCTATGAATTTCTATGAATTTCTATGAATTTCTATGAATTTCTATGAATTTCTATGAATTTCTATGAATTTCTATGAATTTCTATGAATTTCTATGAATTTCTATGAATTTCTATGAATTTCTATGAATTTCTATGAATTTCTATGAATTTCTATGAATTTCTATGAATTTCTATGAATTTCTATGAATTTCTATGAATTTCTATGAATTTCTATGAATTTCTATGAATTTCTATGAATTTCTATGAATTTCTATGAATTTCTATGAATTTCTATGAATTTCTATGAATTTCTATGAATTTCTATGAATTTCTATGAATTTCTATGAATTTCTATGAATTTCTATGAATTTCTATGAATTTCTATGAATTTCTATGAATTTCTATGAATTTCTATGAATTTCTATGAATTTCTATGAATTTCTATGAATTTCTATGAATTTCTATGAATTTCTATGAATTTCTATGAATATGAATATCTATGAATTTCTATGACGACTACCTTGATATGAACAAAAATTTATATTTTCTTATGGAGATTTACATGGGAAAATTTGAAGGAGTGCCCTTTAGCTGCACAATCTTTATCCTCCATATTTAATTCATTATATCACAAGAATCGTTCAGCTAAATATAAGCAACCATAGTTTTATTCTATGTTCTAAATTGAGTTGGTATAGTGTGAAAGATTTGTCAACGCCGCATATTGGTAGTTATCTAGTAATCCAATTGTATAAAATTTTATCGGAATTGAATATGCTGCAGGATAATTAGGATCTCGGGGACTTTCTTATTGGGATAACTACGTACCTACCTACTTTGTAAGGTGACACTAACCAGTAACCTTGCAACAATTATTAATGTTTGAGGACGATAAAATAAGTTTAACTTTATCGAGCATCATGTATATGAACCGTAACACTTTTAGATATAAGAATCTTTACAGAAAGTTCATTGGAATTCAAAATGAAATGCTATAAAAGATGTTTCGTAGAAAAAACTTATATGACTTTTTGAAACTCCTTTTATAATTCAAACTAAGTTAAACTGTGACCATTTTGAATTCATATAATCCTGTACAGGAAATATTTTTAAAATAGTAATTTGGCCTTTATAGAAGACAGAATTATCGTGGACCACCTTATATTTTGGAAAAGGCTTCATTAAAGTAGAGCCGATTTTTTGTTATTTAATGTCGCGAAATGTTTTTTTGTACCTATTTGTAGCGTTTTAAATATAAACCTTTATGGTAGATCTGTATCTGTAATGTACATGGTAGATAAATATGTTTTCTTTTTTTAATAGTTTGTCCTAAATAGAATGGATTTGAGTTGGCAAGTGCCCCTTGTTTTGGTCATTTTGAAGCACTTCACATTTGAGGTTTGAAAATCATTGCACATTAAATAAATAAGTTGAATCAATTTTTATGTCCTCACCTTGTCCAATTTTTATTGCTTTACGTGTTGCTTATTATATGTTCTCCGATTTTTGGTTCATTTTAAACGTGTTTTTTACTTACTTCTTTAAAAAATAATCTTTGTATGTTAATATACAATCTATTAGGTTTCTCTAAGTTATTCTACTTACTTTTTGTTGAAAATGTATTGATCTACCTTTTTACTTTATAATATAGTAATCACAGAATACGCATAACTGTCTGATCTTGAATAAGTGTTGTTAATAATAGTTTCTAAATTCACCAAACAAAAGATCAACACTGGTTAACTCCAACTGCTTTTCATATTTGTCAATATGCTATAAGTCCCTGGCATCTACTTGCCTTGGAGTACATGACATCTCTTTTCATTAATACCTATGGGAACAGTTGGGATACCATAAAAATATTTCATTTCCTTCAATTAAATATAACTAGTGTTGATTTTTATGAAATAGTATACGTAGTATGGTTAAAAGATAATTAAAGTCTAGACTAAATTATAGTTTTGAGTTACTCACGAATATAAATCATTTTTTGTCATCAAAATTTGGTTGGACTTTAATGCATGCATAAACCTCTTTCCAAGAACAATTTTTGACTGATTAATTACTACACTCGACATAAAACTCTTAGAGGTCGTTATTTAATTTCAAAATATGTCTCTTAACGTTCTTGGAAAGAAGTGTAATTATGTTGCAATCATTTGACCTATAAAAATCGAAGGTTAACTCAAAAATATTATTAATTATTAATATTCACTACTTTTCTTTTTTAAGTTTCTTGTTTTTTGGTATCATCGCCAAAGTTAATTTAATTCATGGTTTAACTACAATTCAAATGATTACAATTTTAATTTAAGGGGGCTAACATTTAATACTCACTAGGTGGCGATACTGAAGCGAGAAGTCTGTCTGACAAGCTATCAGAAAGCTTTAAATCAAATTTACCTACTCTTTTATGTCATGTATCGTTAGTGCACAAGAATTTAGACACAACTCAAAAATTTCCATTTTCTAGCTTATTGTGAAAATGTTTAGAAAAATCCGCATATTTTTATGTGGAAGAACGCCATATCGTTACTTCCAAATATGACCGCTGGAAAGCGATTGTGTCGTGCTTCCCTTACTATAAAATCGCTTATTTATTATGGGGATGAAGAGTGACACAAATCTAGTTGTGCTACAACAGTCAATGAGTCAAGATCATAAATTTTCAGCTAGAGTGACATAAATAAGAATATGCCAGTTTTATTAAGAATAAACTAATATAATTATTTAGTCGAATTATGACATTATTGTTGAAAAGGTCATTATCAATATGATGCAAAATATACTTTTGTGGAAAATCTTCATAACTCAAAAAGAGGTATGAAAAAATATTAATATTTTTGGATTTTTATTAATGTTATCAAAACAAACACTAATGTTTATTGGCGAAAAGTCTGCCTGATAAACTGCCAAACAGCATTAAATAAAATTTATCTACTCTTTTATGTCATATCGTTGGTGCGCAAGATTAGTGACATAACTCAAAAATTTCCATTTTCGAGCTTATTGTGGAAATGTATAGAAAAATCCGCATTTTTTTATCGTGTCGTTCTTCCCGTACTACTTTGTTGTGCTTTGACAGTCAATGAGACAAGATAGTCAGTTTTCAGCTAGAGTGACGTGTATCAAAATATGCTAGTTTTATTAAACAAACATTTAAGAATATTATTTTCAACAATAACATATTTGAATTAGGACATTATTGTTGAAAAGCTCATTATCAATATGGCGTCAAATGTTCTTTTCGTCATAACTCAAAAGAAGGATGAAAATATAACATTGTTAAATTTTTTCTGTCATTAAAGCAAACTTGTTATTGTTTGAATGCGAGGTGAATTAAAAAAATATATAAAAATTTTTAAAATGCAAGATCAAGAACTTTAAAATGAATGTCTTCGAAAATCTAAGTTTTTCAGTTGTGTCACTATTCTTGTATACCAACGATATAACAATTACAAGAAAGTTAAGGTTAATACAGACTGTGACAGACCTCATCGCAATGATGCCAGTTTTATTAGGTACATAATAGCAGTTAGTGAAGAAAAATGGCCACATATGTACACGAATCCCAACTTTACTTCAAAAGTGACGCAACTCAAAATGCACATCTTTTGAGTTAATACCATGAATGTGATTAGTAAATAACACTACATCAATCATCAAAATTGTTTTAACTTGGCTTAGAAAATGGTAAATCTGTAATTTTTGAGGTTTTCATGGTATTAACTCAAAACATGTGGATTTTAAGTTGTGTCATTTTTGAAGCAAAGGTGCGAAATATTGATATACTCTTGTGTTTTCTTCACTTACCTCGTATTTACCCGTATTTTTACCTAATATGAATGGTTTCTACAGTTACAGTGGCGACCTCTAACGAGAAAACATCTGTTAGCCCTCGTTATATTTACCATTAGGTTTTTTTAAAAATTTAAACCTACGAATACTTAATTTAATATCATTTATATTTATAAATAGGTAACAGTATGAAGAAGTGTCGAGCCAGGTACGGACTAGATCAACAAAGTCAATGGTGTAAACCATGCAGGTGAGCTTATTTTTTTTATCAATTTTTCTATCTGTAATTTAGACTCTGCACGCCTTTTGTTCTTTATTTTTGTGGGTATTTTTATTTCCAACCATAGCCAAAGTGTACCTCATCTCGAACGATTTTATTACATTTTACTTCCATTATTAATTTTGAGATACAGAAATTTTCTTTATTAATTCTAGAAATTTAATTTCGGTACTTAAAACTGTTTTGGTCGAAGAAAAAATTACGTATCAATATAAAAAGTAACTCCACGAATGCCTAATTATTTTTTAAGTTATGTACTATACTTTTGTCCATGAAATATTTGAGTACAATATTAATTTAAAGAAAAATTTAAATAAAAACATCCTTGTTGATATTTATTGTTAAATTAAACGATTGACACATTTAACGTCAAATATCACTACAAACATGAACATCACAAAATTAGAGTTTGCCTGACAAAATACTTCCGAGTTTCGTTTTGTAATCATTAACTTAAAATCAAATAAAATTTTTAATATAAGGAGTAGAAAAATGCATTATTACCAGTGTAGCTTCATTTCATAAGTATGACAGATGACGGCAGCTGTCAAAGTCGCAAAAAATGTCTACCCGTTGAAAAATAAATTTAATTAAAACAAAAAAATTAAAAATAATAATGGAAGGTTTAAATTCACACTTTGGTTATTAATTTCTGCATATACGTTCTAATGCTCGAAGCTAGAGCCTGTATGTAATTTTATCTCTTTGGTATTTACCTAATCTATGTGGAAAGACTGTTGTTTTTCTATTATTTTATTGTTGTAAGAGAATTATTATTGGAAGACACTGTACGTTTCGTTATTTTTGTATTTGTATGAAACATCAGAAAATGTGTCTTCCCACAAAGACAAAAGGACAAAATTGGCTTTAGTTTTTATGCACTGTAACACTGCTGTTGAGTAGAACAATTGTTTTAAGTGCAAGGGGCTTAAAAAATCGGAAAACCGAAATATTTTTCAAAATTCTCTATAGACACATTTTCTGATAAAAATTAATTGCACTTTATATTGATCGTTTTTCCTTATTTTTTATTTTTCGATGTATCTTGATGTAAACATTCTATCTGTTGTGTATGTTAATTAATTGTATTGTGTATGGTGATACTCTTTCACTTTTGAGTGTTACGTTTTGTGCATTTCTATGAATGTATGTAAATGTAAATGTTATTTTTTTGTACTTTATGACGCCCCCTTGTACATTTAACGATTGTTTAGTCCCGAGAACACCTCCGTGGGAGGAGGAACGTCCACGGTCCACGGGAGTCTCTTGCACACGACCGGAGGTGCTGCCACCACACAGTCGCCACAGGAACCCACTTATGTGAATCTATAGCAAAACGTTGGTTAGTCAACAGCAGTGTTGGTGTTTTTTGATGTTTAGATTTTTTTTTTTAGAGAATTTTATATTTTTATTTTTGTATTATCGATTATTATTTTTATTATGGTTTATTTATTTTTTGTTGGATTGCAATTTTTGCTCGGCGTGTTCGAGTTTCTGAACTTATTTTTGATCTAGAAAAGCATTAATAGTTATATTATTCAATTAGCAGCAATAACCGTTACTACGAGTTAAATACTATTCTATTTCTACCACTGTTCTCTACTTAATTCAGAATTTATATACAGTGTGTCTACTTAAGTCGGCACCATATGCGACACTTCATTTTTTAAAAATAGGTATTCTTCGTAAAAACGTTATTTCTAACAGTAATACTAATCAAATTAGGACATTATTGTTGAAAATGTCATTATAAATATGATGTGAAATATACTTATACTAAGGCGAGAAGTCTGTTTGACAGGCTGTCAGAAAGCTTCGAATCAAATTTACCTACTCTTTTATATCATATATCGTTGGTGCACAAGAATAGTGACACAACTCAAAAATTGCCATTTTCGAACTTATTGTGAAAATATACATCAAAATCCGAATATTTTTTGTGGAAGAATGTCATATCGCTACTTCCAAAAATAGGCATGTATCGTTCTTCCCTTACAATAAAATCGTGATTTTATGATGATGAAAAGTGATACCAATCTGGTTGTGTTCCGACCGTCAATGAGACAAGATCGTCAATTTTCAGCTAACGTGACATAAATCAAAATATGCCAACCATCAACCATACCAGTTGATGCCGATGACACAGAATAAAAAAAGAAAAATTACCAGTCGATATGCATGAGTTTTTTTACTGTCATCGATATATGTTTTAATATACAGAGTTGGTAAAAAGTCTTGCAACAAGGTGTTGTGTCATTTTGCACTCGTGAATATTCATTACTCGACTGGATGTAACCAATCATAAAGAATCATTTTTTGACTCGACATCCTAATAAACCAATCAAAGAACTTGTGAAATCCTTGTTAAAATCCCATGAATAAAATAAATCATTTGTAGAGATGTTACAATCTCGGTTTCGCCATATAGTGCAGGGCATAGTGGCGCATTCGTTTGCAAAATTGTTTTAATTCGTGATTTTTTTTTTAAATCCCGGAAGGCTTTCCTGATTATAAAAGTGTAAGATGACACTCGATATTTGTTGATGTTATTGTTTAAACAACGAAAAATTAATTAAGCCAGAAAAAATGCATTTTTGCAATTAATTAATTTTTTTTTATATTCTTTAGGATATTTCGAATAAAAAAAGTCCTTACGCCCATCATCGTATCTTTAACCCTTTAATTGTTATGAATTTTTTAAAATCCGAAATTGACGAAAATTCTAATTTTCTTGAATTAAATAATATACCTTAAAATTTAAAATGCTATAATTTTAAACTTTTTACCGAATATTCAAACTATAATAAACAAAATAACCTAAATAAATTTTCAAAATTTTGTTTGTTGTTAGGTTTTTTTACGTTATAACAATATGCTTCCTACGCGCGTGTACTTTTAGAGAGAACTACTTCTATCTCACTTCCAACTCAATGTATAAGATGGGTAAGAGAAAGCCCAATGACGCGCTGAATCAATTTTTTGCTGTTTTTCAGAGGTAATAAGTTTAAAAAAATTATTATTAACATTTTTCATACCACTTTGTTATATTTGCCGATTAATAGTTTTGTATCATGTGATTTTTTTTACTTTTTTAGATACTTTTGATAACTTGTTTATTTATTAAAGTTAACAGAAACATTTATTTTTAACATTTATTTTTATTCATGAAAAAATTATTGTCAGATACTGCCTGAGAAGTAAAATCTTCTTCAACCTTTTTTTTTAATACGATAAAAAGGCCAAATGCACTTGTCGTGATCCGTGAAAAATTTCTACTTGTTACAATGAACATAATAGGCTTACTGGGGTTATAAAATTTTATGATTTCAAAAATGCTTCTTCATTTAACAAAAATAAGGAAAAAAATGTTTTTTCTAATATTGAGAGTAAGTACTATAAATATGAAATTTTTTTATGACTTTCAATCTTTTGCACTATGAATACAAATAGGTAAAGGGACTTATTTTGTATTTTGAAAAAATTGTACGTTTAACTCTTCTTCTATTTTTTTTCCTGTCATAAACAATTTTTACAATCTTCCAAATAGAAAATTCCTTAGAATTTTTGGCTCGTTTTGAAAATTATTTTTCAGTTGTTAATCAGTCTTGCTCGATTCTACATCTACTGGTTTACTTTGCAGTTGTGTAATTTTTCTGAGTAATAATGTCGTTCTCTTTAATTCCAAAAAAAAATTAAATTATCTGATTACAAAAACTGTTTATTTTGTGATCATGGCGAGCCGTTAGTGAAGTGTCCGAAACCTGATACATATTTATAATTAAAAAATGCAACTCTTCGTCGAAACGATAACGTGACTGTGCGATTTAATTTGTTGTTTAATGAAAATACTAGAGAACAGTCTTTTTCGTGGCATCGTGGCGCGTAGGAAGCATATTGTTATAACGTAAAAAAACATAATAAACAAAATTTTGAAAATTTATTTAGGTAATTTTGAATATTCGGTAAAAAATTTAAAATTATAGCATTTTAAATTTTAAGGTATATTATTTAATTCAAGAAAATTAGAATTTTCGTCAATTTTGGATTTTAAAAAATTCATAACAAGTAAAGGGTTAAAGATACGATGATGGGCGTAAGGACTTTTTTATTCGAAATATCCTAAAGAATATAAAAAAAAATTAATTCATTGCAAAACATGCATTTTTTTGGCTTAAGTAATTTTTCGTTGTTTAAACAATAACATCAACAAATATCGAGTGTCATCTTACACTTTTATAATCAGGAAAGCCTTCCGGACATTTTAAAATTTTTTTTCGAATTAAAACAATTTTGCAAACGAATGCGCCAGTATGCTCTGGTATAATAGTGATTTTGCTAATTAAACGGCTTATTTGTAAAAATGTGAGAAGCCACACTTTTTACTCCACGACAATACTTTGGACAATTTCATAACTAGCCATCAAGTTATTGCATTTTAACAAAGTTGTAGTAGTTTTAGAAATTTATTTGAACCTTTGAAACGTAGTTTCTCAATGAATTAATTTTGTGGATTGTTACGTTTTTCCAATAAACCCTTCAATTCTTTTAGATATTTGTCAAGTCGGTTTCCTTCGGAGTGAAGAAGGCGTGGCCCGTTTAGTACCAAATTTACAGTATTCAAAACTTAATATACATGGGCGCCGTTACAGTTTGAATATGCCAAATATCTAAATCAATGTATGTAGATGATGTGTATTGTATAAGAAGAAAATTAGAATTGTATTAATATACATATTCCACAGATACAAGATGAAGTGAACTTAAACTTTGCAATCCATTTTTTTTTCTGAAAATTTTATAAAATTAAAATAGTGAATGTATTGTTACGAAATAAATCATAATACGGAATTTTTAAGTATGTCCCCTTGTAGTTTTTCAATTTTTTTTACTCAAATTATAAATAATTTAATAAAACTAAATTAAAAAAATAAGAAACAATATCAATATCACAATAATTTATTTTATTATCA